TTGCAGAAGTCCTAAAATTACCACCTAGCCATGATTCCGTGAGAGAAAGCTTCGATTACTTCTCGTTCGGTGATGTCATGTACTTGGGCACGTAGTTCGCCGAATCGTCGATAGTAATCTCTGAGACTTTCGCCCCCTTTCTGCTTGAGTCCCTTTAATTCTGCGTGGGTGATGGGGTGCGTAATGATACCCGTGAAATTTTCACAGAAAACTCTTTGCAAGTCCTCCTAATTTCTGATTGAACCTGGATTCAATTTATCGAACCATTGGAGGGGCATGGTTTCTAGGGCCATGGGAAAGAACAAGGTCTTGATATCATCGTCTCCTCCGGCTAGTTCAATCGATTGTGAGTAAATTCTGAGCCACTACCTTTGTTCAGTCTTGCCATCATATTTAGAGTGGTTGGACGGCTTGAACTTGTGAGGTAGTCGTATTGAAGCAAGTTTGTTTGCAAAATAGGGGAATCTATCGTGCGTTCCGGCTTCTCTGTATTCTGATTCGGCACCTCCTTCCAGCCAACTGTTGTTTTGTTGAGAATAGTTCTACGGGGCTGTCTGAATGGGTGCTTCGCTTCTGATCTTTCTTGGTTGATCGACTCGATAGTTTTGACTGTGGTCCCTTCTACTTTCTCTGTTGTGACTTCCACTTGGTCCAAGTCTCTCGAAAGTGGACTTCCTTTGATTTTGATCTTCCTTCCTATAAGATGTCGACCTAGCAAGTAATCTTGAGCGGGTTCTTCTATCGTGCGTCCTTAGGGCTGCTGTCCAGAGGAGGTCCTGGAGTTGTTCCTGTTGTTCACTAGGATGTGAGGTCGCTCCAAGTTCTTCTAGCACTTCTCGGATCCTATTGTAAGGTGTATTCGCTATGCGTCTTTCTTTGACTTCTTGTTCTAATTTTCTTCTGTTGTACTCGGTCAGATCTGACTCATATCTGATCCAGGCTTCCTTGCGCTGCCTAGCACGTCGTTGGCGTCCTTGTTTCAATTTGTTTCTTCTTTCTCTGGCTTGCCTCTGATTCTCGGTCTCACCATTGTAGCCCTAGGCAAAGGGTGATATGTTGGACTCAGATTCATCCGATGAACTGATGTCGGGCGCTTCTAGGGGGATCAACGGTGATCGAGGATGGCGAACCATGAGTACTTCCCGTGCGTGAACTATTCTGTTATCGACGTTGGTTTCCACACTGTCGGAGTTGCTGATAACTTTAGTAGAGGCTTCAAGGTCATAGATCGAGTCTCCTTCTTGGTAGGGTAGAATTGTTGTTGTCGTCGTGCCAACCAGCCGGGTACTGCTATCCTCAGGAATAGAACCTGGCCAGTGGACGATGCAGTCTTGAGATGTTATAGTTAGTACGAGCCCTTCCTGAGCTCCTTTCAGTGGCATTCTAAGCACCGGATTGGGGGATCCTTTGAGCCGTGCCTGATAAGACTTTGCCATGTTGGGGAGTCCGAACGAAAAAGACCCGACTTCTTGAAAGAACTTTGGGTGTACTTCGAGTTGTATTCTTGATAAGCCGAGGCCGCGTTTTGGAGCCCCATCAAAAAAGAACTCGGTTTCTCGAAAGAACTCGGATAAGACTTCATCTCGAATGCGGAGCCTGAGTTTGAGTCGGATGCGCAAAGTCGCGAAATCTGAGTTGAATCAGACATCGTGAGCTGCGCGAATCTTCCATTGAGTTGATCTGTCGTAGTTGCCAAAATAGAAAAGTCTTCATGGTGAACCGAATCTTCGAGGAGACGGCTTTGGAGCTTGTCTTCGTCGCCTGCCTCGTAGATCCATGAACCAAAGATGAAGGTTGATCCCGTTGAGAAAATTATGTTGTCAAGGTCCGTCGAGCTCTCGGATGCAAATTCACCGAAAGCCCCTACCTGGCGCGCTAGCTGTTGATGTTTGACCACCGATAGCCTGCCACGGGGGTACTCGGGGCAGTATGTTCGGGCTTCAACGTATACGGAACTCGACGGTAAACGCAAGAGACAGTCGATTTATCCTGGTTTGGACCCTCGATCGTTGATCGAGTAATAGCCCTACGTCCAGTCGGCGTTAGCCTTTGCGTTGGATTGATTGTCAGTTGTTGTCCCAGTCTCTAGGAACCCTGCCCTCCTTTATATAGTTAGGAGGTCAGAATCCTAGTTGGTTTACAATGAGAGTTCCTAGTAGGATTATAGAATAATACTACTACTAAGATTACATGGGGAGAATCCTAGTTAGACTAGATCTTCTCCTTTCCTTGCGGGGTATCCCGTGGGTCCCGCACCAACAGGAGCACGACACATAGCTTGTTTTACAATTGTTCATCTAATATGTGCCAAAGTCCAAATTGTAGATAATTTCTCCCGAATATTACTTTCGAAAATGATTCTCACATTCAGGTGATATCATATTTCAAGTGGTATTTTTTATTCTAAAATCAATGTGCATGTCTCCTACAAGTATTCCATACTTGTATGCACAAATTTAAGGGGAGGTTACTCTACAAGTTGGATGCTTTGAGACTAACACCTTTTCAAGCTTATCATGTGTGTAGTAGTCTCATTGCAAGGAAAATGGAGTCCCCAGAGTTAAGCATCATACTTCAAATATCCAGCACCTATTGCAAGTGGTAGACATCAAATTGGTTTCCACATGTGGTATTTCTAAACTAATATCATCATGTTGATTTCACTTTGTTATTTATATGCTTACTCCATGCATTATATAGATTAAACTCTCTTGAGCATTAATTTATCAATTATGCATAAACTTTATTCTCCATCATATGTATGCATATATTTAGGGGGAGCTTAGTCTATATAATATGAGAGTCAAATTTTGTGACCTATTCCACTCCACATATAAAGGATTACAAAGTTTGACCCTCCCTTATGCTACTAATGTCTTTATTTTCGGTGTTTGATTCCAAAGGAGTAGAATTTAAAGGACCAAAAGCAAGCATTAATTTATAGGATCAAAAGTAAGATCATAATAATTTACAAGTGGTAACAGTCTACAAGTGGTAATGGTCCGAAAAAGGGAGGATGGTGGATTATGGATTAGTCTATGTAATGGGGAGAATTTGTAGGACCAAAAAGCAAGGCTTAAATCCATAATGCCACATGGAGACATTTGCAAGGGCAAGATAACTTTCAAAAGATATTTACATGTGATACATTTTAGCTTTACAATTGGTATTTTCAATTAGTATCTTTTAGTCTTACAAGTGGTATCTTTTAGCACCATATAACCTTGCCCTTTGCATTGCATCCAAGCAAGTAGATAGTTTTTAAATTCTAAATTATTATTATTTGCTTGCTTTGATCGTGTTGTCATCAATCACTAAAAAGTGAGAGATTGTAAGAAAAATGGACCCTAGGTCCATTTACTTTGGATTTTGGTGTTTGATGACCAACGCAACCAAATTGGACTAATAAATTTGCAAGTGATTGTTTTGTAGTTCAATAGAGTGCAAGACGTGACTTGGACGAAGACAACATGGTGATCCCACGATCAATACCATAAGCAAGACCTTAGAAGTATAAGAGAAGACCCAAGATATCAAGCAAAGTCCAAGCACGAAGATAGGAACCAAGCCGGATGAAAGATCGCGAAGAAACGAGCTCATAGTGGTGACCGAACGCAGCACCGGACGCTGACTGGATAGCAACCGGATGCTCCGATCAGTTGCTCGACAACAGCAGGCATCCGCAGCAGCGACCGGACGCTGAGGACTGAAAGTGACCGGACGCACCGAAGGCACTATTCATCATCCCGGCAACAGACTCAGCATTGACCGGACGCTGGCGGCAAATCGATTGGACACAGAACTGCAGCGTCCGATCGACTCCAAAGAGGTTCCAGAGCGAAATTGCGACCGGACACGTCCGATGGCATATGACCGAACGCCATCAGCGTTCGATCAGTTGATCGTGGCTCTAACGGTCGGGACGACAGGACGCGTCCGGTCAGGATGAAAGCAACATCCGGTCAGTAGCAGAAAAGTAGGATTTCGTCCCCAACGGCTACTTTCTTCATGGGGCTTATAAATAGACCCCCAACCGGCCATTTAAGTAATGTGAAGCTGAGAAAACATACCAAGTGTGCTAGTACACCATTTTAGTGATCTCCACTTGCATAGTGCTTAGTGATTCATTAGGTGATTAGCGTAGATGCTTTGCGAAGTGCTTAGGTTGATTAGACCACGGCTTAGCTTATGCGTTTGTTCTAGGTTTAGGTCTAGTGTTTAGTGAGGTTTGCATACCTCTTACCACTCGGTGCTTGCACGTACCATTGTTGTATATCGGAGGAGCTTGTAGTCTTGTGAGATCACACCAACCGCATTTGTGGTATGTCCGCCACCGTGTACCGGAGGGAACAAGGCCCGCGACGTTTCGGTCAGAAGCTTGATAATGAAGACGACGGGGAGCATCCGGGAGAGGCTTGTCGGAAGGCACGTCAGAGACCCCACTTGCGCGTGGGAAAGGCCCGAAGCTATCCACGGAGTTACCCGACCGGGAGCTTGGCCCTTGCGAGGGGCTCCAACGAGGACTAGGAAAAGCTTGCGCGCTTCTCGATATCTCGGTAAAAATATCGGAGTCATCGATGGGAGTTTGCATATCTCTACTTTACTCTTTAGCTTCTACATTTATATTGTATATATTACTTCTTTTGCGGTAGAGATAGCAACACACTAGCAAAACCGTAGTTGCATAATTTATCTTTTATATAGGTTTCGCTAAGGTTAAAAAATAAACTATAATTTAGAAAGAAAAATTTTAAGTTGCTAATTTATCTCCACTCCTAAGTGTCTCGGTCCCCTACAAACCGTACCGATAGTGGAGATCCATCTAATCATCCAAACACGACCCCGTCTCGCGCGCGGGCCTCGCTCCTCCCCTCCTATTTATTTCCGATCGCCAACGCCGAACCCCAAACCCAAAACCCTCGACTCGCGTCGCCGCACACGTCGCTTCTCTCGACTTCCCATTGCTTGCTCCGGCAAGAAGGCAGTCTGCCGGGAACGGCATGGCACACAACCGCAAGACAATCCTCCTCGATGAGGGGTGGCCACATATGATGGCCGGCTTCGAAAAGCTCAAGCTCATCCTCGCCGGTGAACCCGGCGTCGCCTTCGCCTCCGACGAGTACATGCACCTCTACACGTACGTCGCATGCTGCATTGGTTCTATCTGCGCTGCTCCCATAGTTGGTTTGGCCTGACTGTGTTAGTTTTAGGGGCTCGATTTTAGGGTTTAATATTTATATATGATCATTCCTTCCGATCTCATCGGCTTCTCTGTTGCTTGATTTGATTGTGGTGTTTGCCGGCAGTACAATATACAATATGTGCACGCAGAAGCCTGCGAATGACTACTCGGCGCAGCTCTACGAAAGGTACCAAAACCTTTTGGACGGCTATATCACTGCCACCGTACGTTCCCTCTACTTCTTTAGTCTCAATTTGGGGAAATTGTTTGTTTATTTTCTTTCCATGTATTCAGATTACATCACTTAGCAAATCTGTTATTATATATATAAATAAATAAAATTATGGACGGCTAGTTGGTTTTTCTGTAATAACTGTATGTTCGAGTTTAGATCGTCCAAGTAGTTGTGGTTAAATGTATTCTTATGCATATTTGGTGGTTATATATGAAATTCAGATGGGTCTTCTAGTTCTGTATTTTTTTGCTAAAAAAAGTCGATATTGCAAGCCAAGGTTAGTCGTGTGTATCATGTCGTCTTATAGATTAATTGTTCCCGTCGTCTATGGTTGATGAGTTGTTTTATCTTGATAAGCTTAATTGTTTGCTCATGTGAAACCTTCTTTGTGGCATTGATTAATTTTTTTTTCTTTTGTGATCGAGCATGTAGGTGCTGCCGTCCTTGCAGGACAAGCACGGTGAGTTCCTGCTGAAGGAACTGGTGGTCAGGTGGAAAAACCATAAGCTAATGGTCAGGTGGCTCAGCAGGTTTTTTTACTACCTTGACCGCTACTTTATTACACGGAGGTCACTCATGCCCCTTAAAAAAGTTGGTTGGGATTCCTTCAAAACTCGGGTAGGGTCTTTGTTACCACTTGCTGGTTTTTATTTGTGTACTAAGTCTGAACAAGCTTGTTAGTTGCTTTCATGAGTTTGAATTCATGCCTTTGTGACAGGTTTTTGACAACCATAAAGCAACAGTGACATCGATTCTGATTGCCATGGTTAGTCTTGCAATTTTCTGCTTCTTGTATCACATTTTATAGAGGTGGTTTGATAACAATATTTCTTTGTTGTGGAATTCCTTGATTTGACAGGTTGACGAGGATAGGGTGGGACAGATTATAGATCGTACTCTTGTCAAGAATGTTCTTGACATCTATATTGAACTTGATTCTGATTCTGGGTCAAAACTTTACAACGAGGACTTCGAAGATGTCTTTCTGAAGGCTACAATAGATTACTATTCTAGGAAGGCCCAAGCCTGGATTGTGGAGGACACTTGCCCTGAATACATGGTTAAGGTAATTGAGGTGCTCTTGAAAATTCCGTTTCATAGTGTAAGGACACAAGCTGATTAGTTTTCCATTACATAGGCAGAGGAGTGTTTACAAAAAGAGAAGCAACGAGTTGCACAGTATTTGCATGCTAATACTGAACCGAGGTTGATGGAGGTTTGTATCAGGCTATACATTTTATTTATCTCACTTTTGATTATTATTAGTTATTACATGAATGATGTTTCTAAACCTAGATTGAGCGCAGTAACTTTCTTTGGAACTGAAATTATTACACTGTTGTAACAAAAAATACTTACAGGATGTGCAAGGAGAATTGCTAGCTAGGCATATAGAGCAAATTCTGAGGAAACAGAACTCTGGATGCAAAGTGTTGCTCTGTGATGAAAAGGTTTGATAGATAGAATCACATGCCTATATATGCCAGGAGTTGATGGGGATTATAATCTTACTGAAATTTTTATGATATGTTTGTTACTGCAGGTTGAAGATCTTTCAAGGATGTTTAGTCTCTTCTCTAGGATTAATGGTGGCCTGACTCCAGTATCTAAAATATTCCAGGAGGTATTTCCCAACTCATTATGCATTTATGTCTGCACTGCACTTTTAAACAAGTTCCATTTTCTTAGTACAAGTCTGCTTCTTTACAGCATGTCAATGAAGTGGGCATGTCTTTGTTGAAACAAGCAATAGATGCTGCTACCAGCAAAAAGGTAATTCATATATTTTCAGATATTGCCTACTTTTTTTCTTCTCCATTTGTATCAATTGTAACTTTATATCAAATGTACATATTCAAAATTCTTTGGATGTTTTTTCCTGCAATTTTGCTCTGTGGAAACCAGTTTCTTATTATTTTTGCACCCATGCTAATAGTTGTAGTGACTTTCTCTACTTTTTAACTCTTTTTCTTTAATGGGCCATTTACTGTCCAAATGTGAAAAATCATGAACAGCTATTTCAGATGGATTTCATGATGCGAAAATAATTAGGAGTCATGCATAAAATTATTATCATAAAATTAATATTAAAGGTAAAATTGGCTACAAAATATGGTAAGTGATGTTGTGCGGCCAGCAGACATAAAAAGACAATTGGCTGGCTGGTACACTATCAATTTGTTAATTTGCTAAAAACACTGTGCCTATTAATATAACCATTTTAAGACAAGTGGAGAGAGAATAATCTTGTCTTTTGCTAATATTAAATACTACAGTCAGTTTAAAATTTATCTATTTGTAAGATAATTCTTTTGGAAGGAGTTTAATGTATTTTCTCTCTTCTCAAATGATAGATTGATGTATTAATCAGTAGTTATTAAGCTGCTTTAGCGTGCTTTCTAGTTGAAGTAACTTTTAATCCTAGTACCTACTTAAATGTGGACTTTTTCTTTTTGTTTTTTCCTAACTGCTTTCAAAAATCTATTCTAACGAATCGAATGTTCTTCTATTTTTTTGACTGCATATCTGCAGAATGAGAAGAAAGATGTAGTGAGTACGCTGGAACTGGTATGGATCTTCCATACTTCTATGTGCTGGAGGCCTTTTTTTGTTGGTTCTAATTGGCAGCTTATTACAGGACTATGTGCGGAAAATCTTAGATCTCCACGACAAATACATGGCATATGTCGTCAACTGTTTCCAAAACCATACACTATTTCACAAGGTTTGCTGGGTCAGATATTTCTTTCATCAATGGACCTGAACTAGTGTCATCTCCCTCACTTGCTATACTGTTTCAGGCACTTAAGGAGGCCTTTGAAGTTGTTTGCAATAAAACTGTTGCTGGTTGCTGTAGTGCTGAATTGTTCGCAGCATACTGTGACAGTATTCTTAAAAAAGGTGGATGTGAAAAACTTGGTGACGAAGCAATTGAAGAGAACCTTGATAAGGCATGGTTACTGCAACACTATTTGAATCCACGGCAGTTACACTCTTGTTTTCTCAACTTTTAAACTAATTATTGTCAGGTTGTGAAGCTGCTCACATTCATCAGCGATAAGGACCTCTTTGTTGAGTTTCATAGGTTTGTGTGGTATCAGCTATGATTTCAAAATTTTGTCAATGGTATCAGCTTGACATCTACCATTTTCCCCTCTGAAAATGTACTGCAGGAAAAAGCTAGGAAGGAGATTGATCTTTGATAGGAGTGGCAATAGTGATCAAGAGCGAAGCTTGCTGTCCAAGCTAAAGCAGTATTTTGGAGCGCAGTTTACTTCAAAAATGGAGGGCATGATCAACGATGTCACAGTTGCAAAAGATAAGCACACAGACTTAGAAAATTACATAAGAACGAACCCAGAATTAAATCCTAAAGTAGACCTGAGTGTTCAGGTTTTGACAACAGGATACTGGCCAACTTACAAAAGCACTGATATAAACCTTCCTTCAGAGATGGTATGTATATCATTGCTTCTGCACCCTGCGTTGCACTGCTGACTACTCCATCCATTCTAAATTATAGGTCATTTTTGGCTTTAATCGTAAGTCAAACTTCTATAGCTTTGACTAACATAGAAGAATGCACCAACATATACAATTAGTTTTACTAAATTCTCCATGAAATATCTTGATAGTGCACATATTTGAACTTGTAGATGTTGGTGCATTTTTCTTGGTCAAAGTTAGAAAAGCTTGGCTTAGGACAAATCTATTGTGATAAATTTGGAATGAAGGGAGTAGTTAGTTATTATTTGAAGTTTGCAGTACTCTGATAACACACATATTGATCTAACGTAAAGTTGCATATTCAGGTTAAATGTGTGGAGATTTTCAGTAAATTTTATCATTCCAACACGGATCGAAAAAGAAAGCTTAATTGGATTTATTCTTTGGGTAATTGCACCGTTGTTGGGAATTTCAAAGCCCAAAAAATTGATCTGATTGTTACAACTTATCAGGTAGGTTTCAATTAATGGAAGTTGATACATACATACACTTTTCGTATGTCATAACTGCATCTTACTTATCTCAATCTGTTTGTCAGGCTGCACTCCTGTTGCTATTCAACGAGTCTGAAAGACTAAGTTTCTTTGAGATCGTGACACAATTAAACCTTTCTGAAGATGATACTGTGCGTCTGCTTCATTCACTGTCATGTGCAAAGTACAAGATTCTCAACAAGGAGCCAAATAGCAGAACAATTTCCCCAAAGGACGACTTTGAGTTCAACCACAGATTTACCGATAAGATGCGCAGGATAAAGGTGCCATTTGTAGTTCAAACTGGCATTGTTTATTTTGGATCTCTGTTGCTAACTTCTTCAGAGACATGACAATAAGGTGCTTTGCATTGCAGGTACCACTTCCTCCATCCGATGAGAAGAAAAAGGTAATCGAAGATGTTAACAAGGACAGGAGGTTTGCGATTGACGCAGCACTAGTGCGTATTATGAAGAGCCGCAAGATCATGACCCACCAGAATCTCGTTGCGGAATGTGTGCAACAGCTCAGCCGCACGTTCAAGGTACGTATCACTACCATTCTATGCCTGTCTTTTGTGTATTTGAGTGTGTGTATGTCATCGGTCATCCTCAATAATTCCTTGCTGTATGGTGATCTTTTTCTTTTGGAGAAAATACTATGATATATATTGACGCTGGGTTCTCCCTGCTGCAGCCTGATATCAAAATGATCAAGAGAAGGATTGAGGACCTTATCACCAGAGAATACCTGGAACGCGATAGAGACGCGCCGAACTCATATCGATACTTAGCTTGATTGGGCGACGGACTTGCTGACTGCTGCAAGCCTCACACGTTTTGCCACTTGCACATTCTTCGTACCTCTATATTAGAAGGTTTCAGTAGCATTAGTTGGGTGTATTCAGGGCCTTTAGCAGGTTCCAGTGGCATTAGTTCGATTGATACAGTGGAATTGTTAAATGCTCTTTATGAATAGCTATCTCTGTTGGTTCTTCAGAAATTTGGTTAGCTCTCTCGTTAATCGTGTGCTCCACCGTTTGGTTTCTGTATTTTTCTTTGACGTTATCATACAGTTCCATGGAGAAATTTTGAATCAATGAAAAATGCTCTTTGGATCACTGTCACTGGAGGATCCATGCTTGTATTGGTTGAGCACATAAGGGTGGCGTACAAAATTTACCGAGGTTAGTGCAGTGTTAACGAGGAGAGCAGAAAAAAGTGCAGTTGATTCGAAGCATGTTAATGAGGAGAGCAGAAAAATAGGGAAACAAAAATAAAAAATATGGGAGGAAAATATATTTTGTCTTCGAGGAGAGCAGAAAAATAGGGAAAGAAAATTAAAAATATGGACAAGAAAATATATTTTTCTTTAGTATTGCCACAAGAACCTTTTCCTTGGTAGAAATCAATTTGTAGTTCTCATTTTTTTAAAACCCCTTTAAGGTATGTCAAAAAAAAAGACAACATAAACATAGGTACACCGGATATCACCGAGTTAATCAACACATGTCTCCCTCCCAATTTTTTATTTCCAACTGAAGAAAATTTTAATTCTTTTTTTCAATTCCATTCTCATCATTGTTATTAGGTTTCGTATAGTGCATTGGTAGATCAAGGTACCGGAAAGGGATGTATGTGCTAGTTTTGCAGCCAAATAATTGTGAGAATTGCATTGTCGCAGAACCGACCAATTTATAAGAATACAAGTATAATGGCAATCCACAAGCGGTCGCACTGTCATACTTGAACCCATATAAACCCGGTAGTCCGTCGAGTACCACGACGGGTCTCGATAAACAATTTACAACAACCAAGATCGTACAGGATTCAACATACATGCCACACATTACATAAAGTTCACAGATACTTTTCATCATCAGAGTACGAATAGAAAGTTATTACAAACCGAGTTTGATAATTAAAGCGGAAGCAAATAAGTTCGAAGATAAAGTTTCCAATATAATTTGATACAGTGCCATGCCAGATCACGGTCCACAAAAGCAAGGATAGGAATTACTAAAGAAGCCTGCCCAAGGCTTACTCCTCATCCACAGCGGGATAGAAGCAACTCTTGCAATAACCATGATACACAGTGCCATCTGCAACAATGGGAAAATAAACCCTGAGTACGAGAAGGTACTCAGCTAGACTTACCCGTCATGAACCAGAAATAAAATGACTCCAAGGAGTATGCAAGGCTGTATAAGTGGACGTAACTTGACAACATTTTGCGAAAAAGGCAGCTGATCCGTTGTACAATTATGATTCCTTTACCAAGTTAATTATAACTATCCATTTCTAGATTAGCAACTATCATGTGCCAAACATGTGGGATATCATTTAGAAGCATACAATAGTAACCATAGCAGGTATTGTAATTCCATATTCATCTGAACCATCATGTTCCATAATACGCCATTACTACGATGTTGGAGCTAGCCAAGTTTCTCACTATCCGGAGAGACGGCGATTCAATCGATTTCAACCACCGGGAATTTATTCCTAACACAAACCCAGTGTCTACCAAACACGATAGCCTTAGGTCACCTTTGATACAACTCAGGTACACATTTTTCAGTCCGTCTTTAAGCCGCATGTCTGGAACACCAGATGCCGGGATGCTCGAGCCAAGCACCGCCTTTGGGCTCGGTCGATCGTTCCCGGAAGGGCGCTATGAAACGATTCCGGCCTGAGTTGAATTACTCGGCTTCGCGGTCGGAACGAATTATCCGGCCAGCTAAGTGAGAGGCATGCGTTCAATCTTGTCAGAAGTTCCAACAACGGTACGGTCCTTGATCGACACAGACGGGGATAGATCCACACCCAAGACCTCCATGCCTTGTTGCTTTTCTATCGACATCCCGCCCGGTCTCCATTTACATTAACCATGGTTCTTTTCCACGATAGCAATTATAACCAACCGTGCTCCGGTATCCACCTATATCTCGCAGGTGACAGGAAATCACCCGACTTCTACCGGTCTAAGCATGGCTAAGCATATATTCGATCCTCGGACCTATACTGGTTTAAAGGTGTAATATCCGGACAAGGAATGTACATGCATCAAGTGGTTTCATTCAACTCTTATAACCTAATGCAAGCAATCATAAGTACTTAAATAAACATTTATAAATTACTGGGAGACTTATAATGCTCCGGGGCTTGCCTCGCAGAAAGGAAGTAGGGCGATGGTCAGGGCACTCCGGAAGCTCTTCAGGGTTCTGCTCCACGCCTTCGGGAGCTGCGGCTTGCGGATCCTCCTGCGGGTTCCCTTCCTCTGCTTCTTCGAATTCCAGCAACGTGATCTCTTCCTCCGATCCTAGATGCATGAGTATGGTATAAGTATTACGAATGCATATATGTTAACAAGTGCATCACGTTGTTTGAGTAGGTGCATATCTCTTCTCGATTATTACTTAACTACTTCTATAATGCATCGACTATGCCACAAACAGTAGCTACTTGTTTCGCTCATAACTGGAGTTCTACAAATCCAAATCCAGTGATCCTGGACTTTCTGGAAAGCTTATCAAATTTTCTACAACTTTGTTATTAACCATTTTTACAGTACACATCAGTTTCAACATGCAAATCCTCACACTCTAGAATCAGTCCGGAAATGACTTAACATGCAACATAAAGTAAGAATACTTCTACTCCAGGTAATCATTCAAAATTTGACAACCTAGAACCTACCAATAGTTTAAGCATACCAAATACAGTTAAGATGATATAATGGTAAAGCCCAAACTATTTATTAAATTGCGTTTATTATTTTATTTCGATATCTAGGTTAAATAATAAATATATATCAGATGTGCTTAATAAATTCTCAAAAATTTATAGAGCTTTACTAATGCTATCAAGAGACTACTGTAAAAATTTCATGTCATTTTACCAAGTAGAACATTCTATACAAAAATGACAAGGCAGCAAGGCTTGAAATAGCATAAATGGAAAATCCTATTGAAAAGTGTCAAGCAACAGATTTCATATTTTTCTTAGCATCCATATGGTACTAGGATTACCTCCAACAAATTTCATGAATTTTGGACTCATACTTAATTTGTGAAAATTCATGCAAGGATTAACTAGTCATAAAAGAAAAATCTATAACTTTAAATCTACCCATGCACTGGTCCTCAAATTTTTACCAGAGTTCACACATGCTAAGATTAGTTCACCACAAAAATTTCATAATTTTTGGAGCACAGGAACTCTAGATATAAAATAAACAAATTTGAATGCATTCAAAAGCACATTTCAAATCCCTATTTAAATCTCCAGAAATTTCTACTGTTGAAACCAAGAACATATTTTTCCAAAATACTACACTTCCTAAGCAACAAAATCATATTTATTTCACCATTTTAGGAGCTACCAAACTAAAGATACAAAAATAACAAAACAAATCAAAAATCTGGATTCAAAATGAGTTAGCCTACACTACACTACATCGTTGATGTGTGGGACCCGCTGGTCGGGGGACCCACGCGTCGCTGACACGGAGCAGGGCAGCGGCGCTGCTTGCAGTCTTGGCGCTGCCAGAGCTTCGCCGACGGCGAACTTCGCCAAGCGGTGACATCATCACACGATGATCTACTCGACTTCACTGCGCATCGATTGAGCTACTTGGGTGGCTTTCTCATCGAGCTAGCGGCTCTGGCGGCGGCCATGGCGGGGGTGGAGGTGCGGGTCGACGGTGAAACGCCGGTGTGGGCTACGGTGGTTCAAATCAACGCGTGGACAAGCATCTATGAACGCTGGGGACCTAGCGCGCTAGCTACCGGGCGGGAGGAGGATCGTGGCGGCGTGGCCCACGGCGACCGGGGCTCACGGCGGAACTCCGGCGAGCCTACACACGCTACCGCGGGGCTTACCGGGCTTTGTCGGCCGGGCACGGGGAAAACAATGGGGTGCTGGGGAGGCGGTGGAGCTATCACGGTGGTGCGGAGTGGCCAGGCACGAGCTGCGCGCTGCTATGGCGACGGCGGAGCGGTGGGCGCTCGGCGGCTGCTGCTGTGAGGAAGAGAAGGCGCCGGGAGCGAAATGGGAGCGCGGGATGGCTCGGCCGGGCGCTGGCGACGTTAAGGCGCTCTCGGGCGTGGCGTGGCGTGCGCGCGTGGTCAGGGCGCTGGCGACGCGCGGCCGTCGCCGGGGACACGCGGCGCGCGAACTCTGCCGTCGGTCGGCCACTGAACGCGTCGTTCAGTTTCGTCAGAAACACGATGGCCGAGCCTGACAGCGCGTTTTCAACTTGATTTACCGGCTAATCGGTGGCTCCTTCGTGCAAACTTACTGAATAGAATTTGTAGACCCATGTACCAGCTTCAAATGTTGTTCAAGGATCGCATTCTAATTCTCACCCGAACTCAAGTTATAATGCCCTGAAGGTCAGCTTGTCAGGCTGTCAGGGTTTCACGACTTAGCAAATTTCGTTAAGTGTTGAAATCAGGATTTTGATGATTCTTGTGATCCAATTTCAAACATGTTAGGAGCTGAATCATGTGATGACCCAAAAATAAAAGTTGTTCCTAATGTCAAACACTACAACATTGCTTTAGTGAACTCCTCCATGCAAGGTCCCTAACACCTAGTTCAACTTTAGTCAAACATGTCACTTTGAAATCATGATACATACACAAACCATGGCTAAATGACCAAACTAGCCTTAGCACTAAATACCAAAGTTGTTCCTAATGATATCCTAAGCATGTTTAAACAATTTGCAAGGTCATTTAAGCATTTCATGTAGTAGTCACTCATATAGCTATTCAGGGTCAACACATGAAATAT